ATATTCTATTTCTTCCTGATTCAGTCTTAGTAGGTTTTATGTTTCTAGGAATTTACCCACTTCTAGGTTATCCAATTTGTTTGCATATATATATTCATACCAGTCTCATGATCCTGTGTATTTCTGTGGTATCAGTTGTAATGTCTCCCCTTTTATTTCTGATTTTATTTATTTAGTCTCTTTTATTCTTAGTCTAGCTAAAGGTTTGTCAATTTTGTGTATCTTTTCAAAAGTTTCATTACACTTTTTTGTTGTTTCTGGTCTTTATTTCATTTATTTCCACTCTAATCTTTGTAATTTCTTTCCTTCTGCTAACTTTGGGCTCAGTTTTCTAGTTCCTTGAGGTATGAAGTGACGTTGTTTATTTGAGATATCTTTTCTTAATATATTTTATCATCGTAAACTTCCCTCTAAGAACTGCTTTTGCAGCACCCCAGAGGTTTAGGTGTGTTGTGTTTCCATATTCATTTGTCTCAATATTTTTTTATTTTTCTTTTAACTTCCTCTTTAACTCATTGGTTGTTCAGCAATGTGTTGTTTAGTTTCCACATGTTTCTAATTTTCCAGCTTTTCTCTTGTTGATTTCTAGTTTTAACCATTGTTGTTAGAAAAAGTGCTTGTTATGATTTCACTCTTAATAAATTTGCGAAGACTTGTTTTGTGGCCTCTCATATGTTCTACCCTGGAGAAATGTTCTGTGTGCCCTCCAGAAGCATGTGTATTTTGCTACTATTGGATGAAATGTTCCATAAATGTCTGTTAGGTCCATGTGCTCTAAAGAATAATTCAAATTCAACATTTCCTTGTTGACTTTTTTTTAAAGATTTTATTGGGGAATTGGGGGAGGAGAACAGCATTGGGGAATCGGGGAAGGGGAACAGATTCTTGTTGACTTTTTCTCTGGATGATCTGTCCTTTGCTGAAAGTGGGGTGAAATCTCCTACTATTATTGTATTGTTATCTATTTCTTCCCTCGAATCTGTTAGTATTTTCTTAATATATTTAGGTTCCAAATATATATTTATGATTGTTATATCTTCTTGATGAATTGACCCTTTTACAATTATATAATACTCTTCTTTGTCTCTTGTTACTGTCTTTTTACTTAAAGTCTATTTTGTTTGATATAAGCATAGCTACTTCCAATTTCCTTTGGTTTCCACTTGAATGGAATATCCTTTTCCATCCCTTCCATTTGAGCTTATATGGGTCCTTAAAGCTGAAGTGAGTCTCTTGTAGCAGCATATTGTTTGGTCTTGTTTTTGTTGTTGTTGTTTGTTTGTTTTGTTTTTTATCCATTCAGTCACTCTGTCCTTTTGACTGGAGAATTCAATTCATTTTCATGTAGATTAATTATTGATATGTAAGGACTTACTAATGCCATCTTATTAATCACTTTCTGGCTATTTAGTAGTTCCATTTTTTCCTCTTTTGCTGCCTACCTTTGTGAATTGATAATTTTTCAGTGGTGGACTTTGATTCCCTTCCCTTTATCTTTTGTGAGTCTACTATAGGTTTTTGCTTTGTGGTTACCGTGAGACCTACATAAAACACCTTATAAATATAATAGTTCATTTTGTTGTTAACAACTTACCCTCAATTGCATACAAAAACTACCCTTTTGTTTATCCTTTTTATGTTTGTGATATCACTATTTACCACTTTTTATATTGTGTATTTGTTAAAAAATATGATAGTTATAATTATTTTGAATATACTTTTTCTTTAACATTTATACCATCATTAAATTGTTAACACCATTATATTACAGGGTTGTCTAATTCTCACTGTGTATATACCTATGCCAAAGTGTTGTATATTTTTGTTTTCATGTAACTAATTGGTGTCTTTTTATTTCTGTTTGAAATATTCCCTCAGCATATCTTGTAAGGCAGGTCTAGCGGTGAAGAATGCCCTCAACTTTTGTTTTTCTGAGGAAGTTTTCATTTCTCACTCATTTCTGAAGGATAACTTTGCCAGATAGAGCATTCCTGGCTGGCATTTTCATCTTTCAGCACTTTAAACATATCATACCACATTCTATAAGATTTCTGCTGAGAAATTCACGGATAACCTAATGGGGGTTCTTTTATAGATTACATTTTTTTCTCTTTCTGCTTTTAGGATTCTCTCTTTGTCTTTTTTTTTTTGACAGTTTCATTATAATGTATCTTGTGGAAGATCATTTTTAATCAAAATTATGAGGTGGTCTCTTAGCTTCATGAATTTGGATGTTAAGTCTCTCCCCAGGCTTGGGAATTTCCCACCTATTATATCTTTAAATAATTCTGCCCCTTCTCTCTTCTCCTTCTAGGACTCTAATTATTCTAACATTCATTCTTTTGATGGTATTCCATAGATCATATAGACTGTTCTTACTCTTTTTTATTCTTTTTTCGTAGTTCTCCTCTGATTAGTTTATTTCAAAGTTCCTATCATTTAATTCACTGATTCTATCTTATCTTTGATCTAGTCTGCTTTTGATGCACTCTGTTCCTTTTTTTTTTAATTCATTTATCCTTCAGCTCCAGAATTTCTGTTGTTTTTAAAAAAATAAATAATTGCTATTTCTTTGTTAAATTTCTTATTTTGTTTGTGTTTTGTTTTCCTGATTTCATTGAATTATTTTCTGATTATTTTTTTTGTAGCTCATTGAGTTTCCTCAAAAAGATACTTTGAATTCTTTCTCAGGTAAATTGCAAGTCACCTTGTCTTTGTGTTCAGTCATTGGAGAATTATTCTGATCTTTTATGATATCATGTTTCCTTCATTTTTCATGTTCCTTGGAGTTTTGTGTTTCTGATTTCAATCTCAAGTAGCAGTGTTTTCCACTGATCGTTATTAGCTGCCTTCAGATGGAAAATACATTATGTTGGTCTTCATTATAGTTGGGGCTTTCTCTGACTTTGTATGTATGTACCTGCTTCAAACTTCACACACCCTCTTGTGACAGAATTCTTAACCTTATATGTCCTCTCTCAGTGTTACAGTGAATGCATCAAGTGACTGCTGAAAAACCTATTTGATTTCCCAAAGATAGCATTATAGTCGAAGATTGTGATTTCTCCCTTACCCAGATTTCTGGCTTCTTTTCTATACATACTTTCTGTCTGCCCGAGCTCAATCTCACCACCATCCTCAGAGTGCACACAAGAAGCTGTCAACAAAGTCAGGGGAAATTTAGCTTTGGCGCTCAGGGAATTGGGGGAGCCCACAGACCAGATGAGGAACCCTCAGGTGAGATATTCTCAGTGGCTTATAGGCAGGCTTCCTGCTGGAGTCCAGAATGCAGTCTGCAGGAACCATATCCCTTTAAGCACTCTGATATTCTACCTGCTTCTTTCCTAGTAACTACCCTACTCCCAGTCATCAAGATCTCCTTTTATTACTTTGGGAGAGAGATGGGTTTCTTTAGTAGTGTCCTATACAGCTGGGGAAGCCGAGCACTAACTCTTTGCTCTCCCTTCCCCGCCCCTCCCCCCATGGGCAACATCCCCAGCCTCCTATAGCTTTCAGCTATGCTGCCTTATGGGGAGAAGTGATACTGGTCAAATTCCTCTTACCCATTCCAGTATGTCCAAATTTGTATTTTTATACTTCAGCTCCAACAGAGTGTTGAAACTTCTCAGTAAACTCTCAACTTCTACGAAGGCTTCCTTGTCCATGGCCAAGTCAGAATTCTACAGTTCTTCCAGACCACAGCCCAAAAAGGCTGAGGCTCATTTACAGGCTCCTTCTTGTCCCATAGCCCATACCAAAATTTGTCTCGCTATAACCAGATGCACACCTGGTTGAAACTCCTACCAGATCCTTCAGTGTATAGTGTTGTTAAACCACAATGGTATGAAACTAGAATTCAATAATAGGACAAAAGATGTAAATTGTACAATATGTGGAAATTTAAAAATACACTCCTGAATAACCAATGGGTCAAAGACAAATCAAAATGGATATAAAATAATACATGAAAATGGAAACACAATATACCAAAACCTATAAGATGCTGCAAAATCAGTTCTAAGAGGAAAGCTTAGCAATAATATCTGCATTAAGAAAAAAAACCTCATGTAAATAAACTAATTTTACACTTCAAGCAATTGTAAGGAAGAATAAACTAAGTTTAAAGTTACCAGGAAAGGCAAAAAACACGAATTGTGGAAAAGGATGTAAAGCAACAAGAACTCTCAGACACTGTGTGTAGGAGTACAAATTGATACAACCAATTTGGAAGATGATTTGGCAATATCTACTAAAACTGAGTATATGCATGGTCTATGACTAGCAATTCCTTTTCTGGATATATATCCACAAAAATGCTTGCATACAAGCCTCAAAAAATATGTACAAGAATGTTCATCACAGCATTATTCACAATGCTGAAAACTACACAAATGATCATCTACACTAGAATAGTCACATAAATTGTCGTATATTCCCAAATGTCATACTATACAACATTGAGAATGAATAAGTTACAGTTACATCAAAAAAATATGAATAAATGTCATAACAAATAATGTAGATCACAAGAAGCCAGGTGCAAAGGAGTAATTACTGTATAATTCCATTTATATAAAATTCAAAAACAGGTACCAGGATTTATGGTATTAGAAGTCAGGCTAGAGAATTAGCCTTTGTGGTCCTGACTGTGATATAGTAATATTCTTTTCTTGGCTTGAGTGCAGGTTACACAGGTGTGTTAAATTTGTAAAAATCATTAATATGTTCACTTATAATTTGTATACTTTTCTGATTGTATGTTATACTTCAAAAAAAGGTTTTGGGAAATTTTTAATAAATGAACAAGAAGAAAAATACTGGTCACTAAATTTAACTAAGAAATTATTTCCATAAAAGACCCAGTGAACGCCTTTAAATAAAGAGAAACACAGCAGACACAGACACACAGGTAGGCCAAAACCGTCATTTTAATGGGATAGCGCAACTGAGAAGGATCTGGGTTTTCAGAGGGAATCAGCAGAAGCTTCAGGTACTCACAATTATTTCCCAGTCCGTATAGGTAAATACTTTTTGTCTACACAGCACAGCCACGTAGTACCACAAAAAATATGATATTCTTCTTTTTTTACACATGTTTTCCTGCAAATGCCTTTCAGTCGCCAGCATGTAGAAAACAACGATTTTATGTATCTATTCGGTCCACTTCTAACTGCCAACAGAAACAAAGGTAAATGCACAGTGTCCTGTAGGGTCATGGTATCATGAATACATTAGATTGAAGGCTATATTTTAGGACTTTTAAATGGAAAATTAGACAGTATCACAACATCCCAGTCATGTTATAGCTGGATGCCCTTTTTCACTAATTTTCCAGAAGCCCTGGTGCAAGTCTTTAGTTCCCCTGGGTCCCCACTTACATAAATGACTAATTACCTATGTGCAGGTGACACGGCCCAGCAGATTCAGCTTGGGACAATTTGCAATGGACAGAGCTTTTCGCCTGGGAATAGTCCCTGGTGTCTGCAGAGGTCCCATTCCAAGAGGCATGCAGAGTCAGGGATAGTACCAAAGTAGTATGAGATAATCACAGGGTCAGCTTAAAGAAGACGCAATCACTGACCTAGAGTTATGGAAGGCCATGGTTCTGGCCCTGCAATCCCAATGACATTCAGTGTGACTTTTTGCCAACTGCCTTACTACCTGCCTTGGCTTAATCATAGGGTATACAAAAGCATCCCCTGGCATAATGAGTGTGAAATGGTCTGAAATACCTAAAACATACATCTAAATCTATTGCTAGCATTTTTCTTAACCTTAAGACCTGAGTGCCCTGGAAGCTGAGGGGTAGGGGCAGTAGGAGGAGAAAGGCAGTTTAAGAAGATAAGGGTGGCTCGGAGTCACCCTACTGAATTATCCATTCTTGTGTGCTAAGCCTTATCTGTCTCTCCACCCAGCTGGTCCATGGGACCATCTACTGGGGCTTTGTGGTGTGAGAATAATCACTGTGGTATGACTAAAGACGATTGGCAAGCAAATTTGCCTGTGTGCCCATTATCCCTGGGACATCTCTCTGGGGACAAGGGAGTCTGGTGGAGACACAGTGGAACGTGTCCAGAGATGCTGCCATCCAGGACAGATGCAGCAGTCTCAACACAGTCCTCATCTGTGCCTGTCATTGGAATACTTCACTCTTGGCCCTTAAGTGGTACCTGTTGAATATGAAGGTTTAGGGCCAAGGGTAAAAGCTTTCTGCAGACCCCAGCAAACCACAAGCAAAACAGTTTTTGAGAACCTCCACGTTAGTAACTTAAGTGGACCCTTCTCTGTATTACCAAGTTGCTGGCTTCTGTCCAGAGAACATAGATTCTGACCCCTCAAACTGCTGTTCATTTGTATCCCATCATGCTATAAGTACATTTGAACAACCAACTCTGTTTGCTAGTTTTGCTCAGCATCAAATTTGCCTTTGTTTCTAAATGCGTGGAAAGCCATATGGGTAGTTGACTTGGGAATGCAAATTGTAAGAGTCCTAAAGAAACAACCTCCCTCCCACCCCCCAAATCCCACCTGCCCTAATGTCCGCATGCTTTTGCTCTGATCCACTTCTGCCAATACCATCAAGCCGAATTTTTCTCTCAAACTTTACAAACTCTCCAGACCAAAACTCAGAACCAGCTTCTTCTCTAAAGAGAGTCACCTCCTCTTACGTGTCCTTAGCACCTCCTCTCTAGTCCTCGGAACAGCCCAGAGCACCCATCTGTGCTCACGCCCCTCCCTGTTTCAGTTTTTTTCATCCAAGTCCTGCTTTCTTCTCACTCTCGTAAACCCTCACCCCCTCTTTCCCTTCACCATTCATAATTCCACAGGGAGGAGATTCCATCTTACCTGGTGGAACATCGGAGAGCAAGACAAGGAGCACAAGGACGAAGATTAAGCTTCTCATAGCTGAGCCAATCAGCAAAGAGACATCGGGGAGGCAAGGGAGAGTCACTCTATATGTAGCTCTGGAGAGACGGGGCGCTGTCTGGCTAGTGAACCTTTTAGGAACAGGAACATCTGCTTGCTCCATTGAGCAGTCCAATAAACTAAAGGTCTGACGTTGAACATGACATTTCACTATTAAAATACACTTCCTGAGTGCCACTTATATGTTGGCAACTGAATGCATACTGTGTCAACAGCACTATTCTAAGCCCTGGGAGGATGCTGTGTAAATATCTGTATCTTCATTGTACATCCATTTAATAAATGCCTGTAGTGTGCAGAGAACTGTAAAGTTACCCATTATAGTTGACAAAGTGTTTTCAATAGTTATATTCTATCTCACACACAGAAGAAAAAAAAAAGCCCAGGTAGATATTATTCTCCCATTTTAAAAGCACAGACCATGAGGCTCAGGTGGGATAAATGACTTTCCCAAGTTCACACAGATTGTAAACGGCAGCAATGTAACTTACACACACATTTGCCTGACTCCTGAATGCAGAATTAAAGTAGGGCCTGGCCCAGTTCTAGTGTAGCTGAAATCTAGTTCGGAAAATAAAAGGTTCTCAAAGAGCATGGGCAAATCCCTCAGACAGCAGCAACATGAGTCTGGAGAGCAGCACACTGAGCCTCACAGCTCCCCACTGAGCACCTGCTATGTGCTGGGCTATGTGCGAAATACGAAGAATTTATGATAGACCTCTTGCTTTGAGGGACTGAAGGTCAACAGTGCTTGACAGTTTACAAAGTGTTTTAAGCTTTATGAAAGCTCTATCTGATAGGGTATAAAGAATATGGAACTCAAAATCAGACAACCTGACTTCTGATCTGGACTCAGCTTGATGGGCGTTCAATGAGGCACTTGCTCCACCCCTCTAAATGTCAGGTTTCTCACCTGTAAAGTTGTTTGTACACTATCAGACTATCAGAGCAACCTATCACCAAGGCTTGTTGTGAGGTCAAATGAAGCAACTCTTACAAAAAGTCCTCTATAAAATGTACATTTAAAACTAGAGATGGTAGTTTGGTTAAGAGCTCGCTCAAGAGTGCGAGCTCTGAGCAACAGAGGTTCGATTCCTGGCCTGAGCTGAGCAACCACTGAGCTGCCAACCGGTGGCAGGATGGCTCAGCTTAAAAAAAAAAAACCTAGAGATGGTAGAGATAGCGCTCCAACTAAAGAGTAGAAAAGCTGAGATAGGAACTAATTCTTCTATCACTCAGTCCTGTGTGTGTTTTTCATATATATATATATACAATTTATTGATATAAATTACTTTCGTAGAATCTTGTTTTCTAATATCAGGAAATCTGTGATGTGATTGAGACAACAGATTTGGGAAAGACTCATAAGAGAACTGGAGAGAAAAAATCAGTAAGTAGAGAATATGTGGAAGACAAGTTTGGAGGACCCCAGAAGGAAATGATGGAGTGAGCACAGGTGTGCCAGGGGGCACGCTCCTGAGGACCGCTTTCTAACCTGCAGCGTTAGGCACAGCTAGATCTGCATCCTCTCACCCCATCGGGCTCCGACCTCTTCTTCCCCAACCAATCTCCTTGGCCTCCAACTCTGCTCGTTCCACTGTGCCCTTCAGAACCCCAGTTCCTTCTACTTCATAACTTCTCCCCACCACACGCTTCCACCTCTGTTGCCCACTGAAATGCTGGGTTCTCCTCTAAGGACACTGCTTTGTAGTAACCTTTGCTGATTGACCACTGTTTATCTGCTAGGGCTCCACGCCCCGTGGGACAGGCAAGCAGCATTTCAGTCTCCTAACAGTCCCATACTATTTCCAGAACAATACCACACATGATCCTGACACCTTGCCCTCACACCATCCACACTGACTAGATCATCACATCTTACCAATTCTGCCTCCAACATACAGCTCACACCTGTACATTTCTCTCCATCTTACTCCCATCATGCAATTCAAGGCATCACCATCTGTCACTACACTAATTAAATGGCTTCCTCACTGGTCCCCCACATCATTTTTACATATTTACCATTCATTCTTCATGCAGTAACCAAAATGACCTTCATAAGATGAAACTGGATCACACGTTTGCAAAGCATTTCACTGGCTTCTTACCGGGCTAAAATAGAAATTGTTCATATGGACAAGAAGGCCCAGGTTAATCTGGCCCCTGGGTGCCACTGCCAGCCTCACTCTTCTCATTCACCCATTCCCTCACTGTATCCCACCCTGTGTGACTGTACTTTTCTCAAACATGCCCATCCCAAGGCTTTCACACATGGTGTTCACACCTGCTGGAAATCTGCATCACTCTCCCCCAATCTCCACTTAACATTTACTCATTTAAAGGGATGGTCTCAGCT